CACACACACACACACACACACACACACACACACACACACACACACACACATCTTTTTTAACGTCATTTTCTTTATTAACATATGAGGAACAGACTTTCAAAATGCGTTTTGTCCAAAACTTATAATTTTCAAAAAATGAGAAGAAAACCATAAGAAAATTGCGTGCCTTAAAAAAATAATAATTTACCAATTGATAAGATGTAAAGTGTTTAACAAAATTGCTAAACAGTTGCTAGAAATATTAAAGAAATATATATTGTTTATCTCTAGTTAAAGGACATAATGTATTTCAAATGTCAAGATCTTTTGTATCACATAAATTGATGGTGTAGAAATCTTTCAGAACATCGCAGAATAGCTAAAAATTTAAGTCTCAAACATTGTCCTAAACATTTAAGTCCTAAACATTGTCCAAAATTTAAGTCCTAAACATTGAACACTATGGCATCTTTAACTGAATAAGTGAAATTTTGAAAGTGAAATTTTGAAAGTGAAAATACATTTTGAAAGTTTGCTCCTCGTATGTTGAATTAAGCAGTATTAACAAAACAAAATGTATCTATGTATATGTATATACATCTCTGATATGAATATTGAATTATGTCGATAGAATATTTTAAAAAATCATGATTTATTTTAAAACTTTAACGAGTCAAAAATAAAATTACTTTAAAAAAATATTTTTTAATTTTTCGGACCAAAAATATCATAATATATAATTCCACGTACATTAGTTTAAAAAAAACCCCTTTTTTCAAACGTCAACATCCTTCATCTATTGTTATTAATTTTAATGTATTCGTTATATTTACTTCTAATATCCTTATTTTCTAGACTTCTATATTTTTTCTATTTTAATGTTCTATCACTAAAGTATACATTAGATATCCAGCAAACCCCACTCGTCGTACAATGGCAGTCTTTTTATCAATATTTTTTTCAAACTCTCACTCTTTAAACCTGAATGCATAAAAGTAGTACCGCCCAGTATTTCATTGAAATCTTTTGCCTCAGACTTACAGCACAATAAAAGCGGTAAAATGATGAAAGATACCAGCATTCCAAAGCTAGCTTTTCGTTTTATGGAAGCCTTCAGTTCTTTCATAGTGGGCGGCTGCGTCTTGCAATTCAATTGTTTCATAGTCGTTGATAACGTGTGAAGATATTCGTTTAATAAAATATCTGTCTTATGTTCAATAACATCGAAGGAAATACTTGAATTGAGTAAATAGATAAGATCGAGTGCCGCCGATGCATAGGTACACAATTGAAAGTCTACCTGCAATATTAAATAAATATTTTCAATCCATAAATTTTTTAAGTCAATTATATTAGAGGTAAAATCTGTGACACACACACACGTGCGCACAATGAGAGAAGGGTGAGGAGAAGGAAGTAAAACATCATATTCAGGAAGTCGCGATGATAACGTTGATAGCTTATATGGATAACTTCGGCAGACGAATGTTTGCACGATTAAACCGAATATAATGTATTTCTTCAAAACACATTCCATTTTCAAGTTTCTCACCGTCTATTTGTTTTGATTGTTGTAGCTAAAATTGCAGATAATTAAATTCTGCCAACATGTACCGTAATAGTGTCTTTCGAAACAGTATCTATTCAATTAATTTATTGTTATGCAAATTTATATCATTGCATGTAACTATGAAAATTACAATAAAAATTCAGAATGTAAATAATTGGAATAAAGTAACTGACAATGAGCTACGTTAATTTGTGTTTATAATAAAATTTATATTTGTCTTAATATAAAAGATATATTTTCAAAGTAAATTTGCTATTTCAACAACATCCCAAATAACATTTATGTTGCATAAGATGAACACCTTTTAAATGTCTTGTGTCTAAATGTGGTATTTTATGCAACACGTTATTTCGGACTCGTCTTATCACATGTAAATTCATATTAAAAGTTTCATGAATGGTTTTATTTAAACTTAGTTTTTATTTAATTTTAGTCCCAATATAAAGTCATGATTATAATAAAGTAATGAGTACATATTTGGAGGAAATACATGATTTTATGACGTAATAGTACTTACAAAAATCTGATCAGTAGGTTTGCCATTATTGTCATATTTGAATAATATATTATTCACGTGACAATCACCATGAATAATAACATTAAATTCGTCTTCACAGAGTATATATGCATCTATTCCTATTTGATACATGTGATCGGAAAGTTTAGAAACTTTTTCCGAGTATCTAGCAATAAAAACCAACCAAATGTAAAATTATATTTATAAAACTTGTATAAAGGCAATATAAATATTTGCACTAAACAATGCAATTTTAATATGATTTTTCTCTTCATATTAAATACTTATCTAATGCCATATATCATAGAGAGAATATCGTAAACATTATTTAAAAAGTAAAGTAATAAATATTTTCATAAATACAAATCTTACTTTTTCGCTTCTGGCCAGTTCGCAATCTCATCTGCTAAAGTTTTGGCACCCATAATGAAGAAAGATTTCATTTCTGGCGAGTGCTGATTATAAAACATTCCTTTTGAATACATCTCTTTTTGCTTCGGGTTCTGAGTATTAGAATATTGTTATTAAAGTATGTTTTAATGTATTTATCCATTTGATTATAAAATTAAATAATTAAGTTTGTATATAGTAGGAACAGGAAATTCAGATTACTGTATAGAGCCATAAGCTACACAAGAAATCTACACAGCAATACATATTTTCTTCACGAATTTAAGGCATATCTTTTTTGGAGAATGTAACAAGAGAGCCTAGTACGCATGTCGAAAAAATTTTTCAAGGGACGTATTTATATACTTTTAAACAAATTTTTATTAGGTCTGTTGAGATGAGCGTGTGCAAGTACACTGCGCAAAAGTGTATTTATAAAAGAATACGCCAAATTAAGTTTAAAAAAATTTTTTTTTCTAGCACCATTTATGGCTGTTCGTTTCTGTCAAATTTAATTTGTTTCAAAATTAATACTGTATAATAATTAAAAACATTCGTATTACAAAATTTTAAATTCTTTTTCGGATTGGTTGCCCGGGAAAATATTATATATTTCATATATAATTATATTTAATATTAAGAGTCTTTTATGTTTAATATTAATGTGTAAATTTCATCTTTCATGGCTCTTGCACGTATTTCATTGATCCGAATTTTTAATAATTGCATTGAAACGTTGCAACTGAATTACAAGTGATGATTTACCTTTTCGCATAAGACAACGGAGGCTGCATGAAACCTGGCAAGTACCCGAAATGCCAATAGAGAATGATCTAAGTCGAGACCAGATAAACGATCAGCCATTCGAAAACCAAGAGATGCGAGATCTTCGATCACTAGAAGCGTTGGATTTTCAATTTGCCCATAGAGAATCTTCGGGCTCAAGCGGTACTTCGGCCCTAACAACTTATTCATTTTATCCAAAGTATCGGACAACATCGACATCTCTGTGTGAAAGAGACCTGCTTGTGTTACCTGTGACAAATTTATTTAAGATAAATAAGTAGAATCTTTTATCTAACAGGAGTACAATTATTTGTAATATAAAGATCTGTGTAAAGATCTATATATACATTTTATGTAGTATAAAGTTTCGAGATTTGTTTTGAAACAAAAATAAAGAATGTTTTCCTTAAATACAAAGTAGTGTACTTTCGCTTATGTAAAGTTGATTTAGATCACTTATCTAAAAATAATTGTCCTAATCTTCCTGTTGAACAGAAATGTACTCCAAAATAATAAAATTTGCCAATTCGCTCTCTCTCTCTCTCTCTCTCTCTCTCTCTCTCTCTCTCTCTCTTTCTCTCTCTACTTTAACAGCACATGTTAATTCCCTGAACAGGTCTGAGCAGGTTCCATGGGATATCGGAAAAGTTGCCCATTCTCAGAAATACGTTCGAAATACGTATTGCGACGTACTATAGTATAGTACATACTAAGATAAGTTCCAATATCTCGCGTATTTTAGTTACTGGTACATACGTGGATAACACGTTGAGGTATTATACAGGACATTATTAGTTAATTGGTACAAAAATTAAAGTTAGTTTATGTAATTCTGAGTATGAGCTTAAAAATAAACGACAAACAATAAACTACACAGATTGTGATACGAACGTCGGTATGTGTGTGTAACGATACGTATGATAATAGTATAAGTACAGAATCATTCAAACGATATCTGTGCTATCAGGATATCATCCCCTCTCTTTTGATAATAGAAACATTGTACATATTAAAACAACTTCTCCTCCTCTATTAAAAACATTGTACATATTAAATTAACTTACGATTCTCTGTCGAACACCGTCTACAGGACAGAGTTTGACAATAATGGATTTTTTCTCTTTAATCTTAGAGTTGCGTGAATATTCGGCAATAATCCTAATTATGTCGCTAGTGTAGTTATCACCCTTCCGTATAGCCGGTTTCGAAACTATATTCATCACTTTAATCGAATCGTCGTTTTCCGACTTTCGCAGGATCTTCTCCACAAAGCATGCATCTAGCCATGATGTTTCTAGCGTCATTTCTGAAAGTGAAATTGGAATTAGAGATATTTATCATAAAATTATGTCCTTTTCACTATGTTACACAACACAAAAACAATTTAACTTAAACAATTAATTACAACAGTTCCAATATGTAAAAACATTCAATTAAAATGTATGAGGAGCTGAGAGCTAATGCTGGATGTAAGTTACTAAATTCTATATTTATAAACCGCAAGGAAATTTTTCAGTAGTCACATGCTTAAACAACACAGAAATTATTTTTATAATTTAATAGCATGATTATCATTGTTATTTGTTAATAAAAAATATAAGGTGATGACGCCTGCAATAACCGGGTCAAAGTGTCGGGTTAGTTATTATACTTGTTACAGTTACTGGAATTAGTTGTCATGCTGATCCTGTAATAAGTCGATAGTCTAAATCTTATCGGCGAAGCTGACCAATAGCCAACTTGTACGATTGACGCTGATTGGCTAACTTCACTGACTTAAGACTTATAGCGAATTCGATTGGGCGCACTGAGTACGCACTGGTGCACATTAAAACTGTCTTACATAAAATAACATAAAAATATGTTTATATTATATATAAACATAGAAATCGATTAAATCCTGAAATACTCAATACATTTTATTGTACTATTAAGTACAATATGTATTTTATTATTCGAAATATTTGCATTTCATTTATATACTCAAATTAAATCAGTATATAACGCCTTTAATATGCACTAGTGCGCACTAGTTCTTCCAATCGAATTCGCCACTAGACTTCCGACTATAGACTCATTGTATAGAGTCATTACAAATATTCAACTCATGCAGATTTGTTCTTCAATCAAGCAATAAATGCTAAATCTACAGAGCGATGGTAAGACGTACGATGTGCAGAAAATTAATTAACGTACGTCACTGAACTATAAAAAAAATCGAACAGTAACCGATATTATTATATACGTGCAAGTCATCTTTACTTTTATCCTCACCTTCATCAATAGACAAATTGTGATAAAATTTCAAAATGATAGTATGAATTGATGAAAATTTTCGCAATTGCGCTAAAATGATTCACTATAATGCAACAATTTTGTCAGAATAAAATTTTTTATGTTATTCCAAAAAATTGAACAATATCAATTATAAATAATATTTGTCACAAATTAAATTAATTCAATTTTGAGATAAATATTTTAATAATTTATAGTTATTATCGTTCCAATAACAAACAAAGTTTTTCGTAATTATGATGATCGATATTATTGCACAAAATCATAAGATTTTAATTTAATATACTCTCGAAATAGTCAACGTTTCATAGTTTTTAAGCGTATCGAATTTTATAATCATTTTACAATTACACATTTAGAGGTATTTGTTTTTCGATTTATCATGAAATGTATACATTCTATGTGATATTTTTACGACAATTTTTGACAAAGTTATTGTATCTTGAAATTTGCCTATTTTTGCAGAGTGAACAGGTGTTGCATTAATTTTGTTGCCCAGTGTATATCTCGTAACGAGTCGTCGCGAGAGGCGGCGTGCTTAAACACAACTACCGCGAAAAACCTGACGTATAGCAACTTAGCGTGCGTTTCACATACAAGACCTGACAACGATAATTGCACGCGCCTTCCGGACACGGAAATTGGCGACCTTACAATTGCGTGACGCTCATCTCACCCTGATAGTCCTCTCCGGCCTTCGGCTTGCTATCCTGGAACTTCGGCAGCCTGCGTTCCTCACTTATGCTCCTCGCTCGCTCGCCACAGCACAAGTGCCGGGCGCTAATCCTTCTAGGGCACACTAATGCCAGACATACCCCACACTCGCGCATACGCATTGTTTTCAGCTTAGCGCTCAGTGCTGTACCCATTAGGTTAAAGTAACGATATGGTGCCGTGTGGACACGAAGTCTGTGCGCTAAACCGGATAACAGGAGGTGCGAGGAATCCTAAAAGGAAAATAGAAATGAGGTAAAGTATTTTAGGTCAGAAAATGAATCGCAATGGAGTCAGGAAAAAGGCCCAAAGAATATGTATCCGAAAATTTAGATCTTGATTAGACGAAAATATCTTTAAAAGTTGGTTGGCAGAGAATGACAATAAAACTTGGTGTAAAATTTATATTTATAAAATTAATATTTCGCTTAAATGTTGTCGATATAATTTACTATGGTATGTCAAATCAGTTTCTCATATAGATAATGTAAATAATGTTAATGTAGCAATTGATAGAGTGATTAGAGTTGATAGAGTGGTACCTCACAATAAGAGGTATGTCTAATTTCTATATATTTATAATTTTATTTCTCCTTGGGGCGACTAAGGACGCCAGTTTCACGAACGGATTAGATACTCTATTGGCGCTTTAGACTGCACGCATGCGCGAGTGCGGAGCATATTTGGCATCACTGCCCAGAATCCGGGGTCCAGAATCCGGAGCAGACTCTCGGTTCTGGCACTCTCGAGGCAGACGTGCGACGCTAAGAATCAATTGTGTTTCACTTTAAATCGATGACTAGAGTATGTCAACTACTCCGTCATTAGATTTTTACATAATTAAGATTATGATATTTCTCAAAAATCTAAAAATTTAGCTATACACTAATATGATTTAGATATATGTAAAATTCTTGACATATTAAGAAAGATCATTCTTATTATGTGTATATTCTTAAAACTTAAAGTACCGAACTCCCTCACTTCGTCAAAGTTGTACACATGGAAGGAAAAATATTGTTTGAAATATAATATTTACATGTAAAAATGATCGAATGTCAAGCAAGCGTTAGTTTATCACCAGTGCAACTAAACAAATTTAGAATAGGTAGAAAAGATAAATTTTTAATTATAATTTCTGTAAGATGTGATTACGACATCAATCGAGTTGGCTAGATATTAATAAGAATGAAAAATAATTCTTCGATTTATTTTTGGTTTATTGTCATTATCGGTAAACAATCATAAAATCCTCAAACGCTTAATTTTTATACGTTTTCAATATCGCGAAAGACGCACGAAAACGAGAAATTAGTTAAATTGTTATTAATTACGTAAACTGCATTAATTGCGGAACGGCATTGTGTTATTTGTGTAATGTTATTTATTAACGTTACTTTATTTCTAATTAATATGATACAGTTAAATATATATAGAAATTCCAACGGACAAAAATTTTCTATTAATCAAAAATAACTATCGTAAAACCTAATATTTATTACGTATAATAAGGATATCTTAAATGATATCAGTATGAGAACAGTACGATTGGCACGTGGCTTTGATATTTGTTTCTGTCCGAATTGTTTACGTACTGTCAGCGTGTTGCGTTCAGTATTTTTTTTTTTATCGTGATAAGTGTTAGGTAATACGAAACATCGTATATTACACAATCGTTCACACAATTATTAGTTTGCACGTTAACTGATTTAAAATCGTAAAACCTAACACTTATCGCGATTGCGTTCTAAAAAAATACTGAAGATATTCGGAGTGACCCTGATCTGCCGGAACAAGAATTTGAATTTAAATGACAGCACGTAAACAATTCGGACAGAAACAGATATTAAAGCCACGCGCCAATCGTACTGTTATTTGAAAATGTAAAGTTTTGTAAAATATTTATCAAATATTTCATTCCTACAGATTAATTGTATTTGATTATTATTATATATTTCTGTTTCATCCTATAAACTGATTGATATCATTTAAGATATCCTTATATCCCCTATAGAATCCCTATAGAATATTTTAAAAAATCACGATTTATCTTGAAATTTTAACGAGTCAAAAGCGAAATCATCTTAAAAAAATATTTATATATATATATATTTTTTAATTTTTTGAACCAAAAGTATCAGCATATACAATTTTATGTTTATTAGTTTAAAGAAAAACCTTTTTTTAAAACGTTAACATTCTTCGTTTATTGTTATTAATTTTAATATGTTTGTTATATTTATATCTAATATCCTTGATTCCTAGACTGTATTTTTTCTATTTTCTGTTCTATCATTAAAATATATATTAAAGATCCAGCAAACCCCACTCGTCATACAGTGGCAGTCTTTTTATCAATATTTCTTTCAAACTCTCACTCTTTAAACCTGGATGCATAAAAGTACTACTGCCCAGTACTTCATCCAAATCTTTTGCCTCAGCTTTACTGATCAGCATAAACGGTAAAATGGTGAAACATATCAACATTCCATAGCTAGCTTTTCGTTTTATGGAAGCCTTCAGTTCTTTCATAGTGGGCGGCTGCGTCTTGCAATTCAATTGTTTCATAGTCGTTGATAACGTGTGAAGATATTCGTTTAATAAAATATCTGTCTTATGTTCAATAACATCGAAGGAAATACTTGAATTGAGTAAATAGATAAGATCGAGTGCCGCCGATGCATAGATACACATTTGAAAGTCTACCTGCAATATTAAATAAATATTTTTGTTCCATGAATTTTTTAAACCAATTGTATTGAAAATAAAATCTGTGCATCATACACACACACACACACACACACACGCGCGCGCGCGCGCGCGCTCGCACAGAAAGAGGGAGGAGGAGGAAGGGATAGTCAGACATTATATAATATCTGGGAAGTTGTGTGTGTGTGTGTGTGTGTGTGTGTGCGTTGACAACGTTGACAGTTTATATGGATAACATCAGCAGACGAAAATGCACGATTAAATTAAATACATACAATAAATGCATTTATTTAAAACACATTCTATTTTCAAGTTTCTCATACCGTCACCATCGAATTGTTTTGATTGCTGTAGCTAAAATTGCAGATAGTTGAATTGTGCTAACATGTAATAGTGTCTTTCGAAACAGTATCTAATTCATTTAATTTATTGTTATGCAAATTTATATCATTGCATTTAACTATGAAAATTACAATAAAAATTCAGAAATATAGATAAATGGAATAAAGTAACTGATAATGAGCTACGTTAATTTATATTAAAATTTATATTTGTCTCAAAATAAAAGATATATTTTCAAAGTAAATTCGCTGTTTCAACAACACCCCAAATAACATTTATGTTGCATAAGATGAGCATCTTTTAAATGTCTTGTGCAACACGTTATTTGGGACTCGTTTTATCACATGTAAATTCATACTAAAAATTTCATGAATGGTTTTATTTCAACTTGTTTTTATTTAATTTTAGTCCCAGTATAAAGTCATGATTATAATAAAGTAATGAGTACATATTTGGAGGAAATACATGATTTTATGACGTAATAGTACTTACAAAAATCTGATCAGTAGGTTTGCCATTATTGTCATATTTGAATAACATATTATTCACGTGACAATCACCATGATTAATAACATTAAATTCGTCTTCACAGAGTACATGTGCATCTATTCCTATTTGGTACATGTGATCAGAAAGTTTAGAAACTTTCTCGGAGTATCTAGCAATAAAAACCAACCAAATGGAAAATTATATTTAAAAATTTATATGAAGGTAATATAAATATTTACACTAAATAGTGCAATTTGTATTTATATTTTCAATTTACTTTTTAACATAATCTTTCTCTTCATATTAAATACTTATCTAATGCCATGTATCATAGAATATCGTAAACATTAATTAAAAAGTAAAGTAATAAATATTATCATAAATACAAATCTTACTTTTTCGCTTCTGGCCAGTTCGCAATCTCATCTGCTAAAGTTTTGGCACCCATAATGAAGAAAGATTTCATTTCTGGCGAGTGCTGATTATAAAACATTCCTTTTGAATACATCTCTTTTTGCTTCGGGTTCTGAGTATTAGAATATTGTTATTAAAGTATGTTTTAATGTATTTATCCATTTGATTATAAAATTAAATAATTAAGTTTGTAGTAGGAACAGGAAATTCAGATTACTGTATAGAGCCATAAGCTACACAACAAATCTACACAGCAATGCATATTATATTTTCTTCACGAATTTAAGGCATATCTTTTTTGGAGAAAGTAACAAGAGAGCCTAGTATGCATGTCGAAAAAATTTTTTCGAAAAAAGGGACATATTTATATATTTTTAAACAAATTTTTATTAGATCTGTTGAGATGAGCGTGTGCAAGTACACTGCACAAAAGTGTATTTATGTATAAAAGAGTACGCCAAATTAAGTTTAAAAAAAATTTTTTTTTTAGCACTATTTATGGCTGTTCGTTTCTGTTAAATTTAATTTGTTTCGAAATAAATACTGTATACCAATTAAAAATATTTGTATTACAACATTTGAAATTCTTATTCGGATTGGATGGTTGGCCGAGAAAATATATTTCATATGTAATTATATAATTATATTTAGTATTAAGAGTCTTTTATGTTTAATATTAATGCGTCAATTTCATCTTTCAATGGCCCTTGCTCTCATTCCATTGATCCGAATTCTTAATAATTGCATTGAAACGTTGCAACTGATTGTGATTCACGTGGTTTACCTTTTCGCATAAAACAACGGAGGCTGCATGAAACCTGGCAAGTCCGCGAAATGCCAATAGAGAATGATCTAAGTCGAGACCAGATAAGCGATCAGCCATTCGAAAACTGAGAGATGCAAGATCTTCGAACACTAGAAGCATTGGATTTCCATTTTGCACATATAAAATTTTCGCACTCAAGCGGTGCTTCGGCCCTAACAACTTATTCATTTTATCCAAAGTATCGGACATCATCGACATCTCTGTGTGAAAGAGACCTGCTTGTGTGACCTGTAACAAATTTATTTAAGATAAATAAGTAGAATCTTTTATCTAACAGAAATGCAATTATTTGTAAGTCCTACGTAAAGATCTATATATAAAATTTATGTCGTATAAAGTTTCGAGATTTGTTTTGAAACAAATAAAGAATGTTTTCCTTAAATACAAAGTAGTGTACTTTCGCTTATGTAAAATTGATTTAAATCACTGATTATATAAAAATAATTGTCCTAATCTTCCTGTTAAACAGAAGTGTACTCCAAAATAATGAAATTTTCCAATTCTCTCTCTCTCTCTCTCTCTCTCTCTCTCTCTCTCTCTCTCTCTCTCTCTCTATTATCTCTTCTCTTTTGATATTAGAAATATTACATATATTAAAGCAATTTCTCTTCCTTTATTAAAAACAATGTACACATTAAATGAACTTACGATCTTCTGTCGAACACCGTCTACAGGAGTGAGTTTAATAATAATGGATTTGGTTTCTTTAATTTTAGAGTTATGTAAATATTCGGCAGTAATTCTAATCATGTCACTAGTGTAGTTGTCACCCTTGCTTGTAGCCGGTTTCGAAACTATATTCATCACTTTAATCGAATCGTCGTTTTCCGACTTTCGCAGGATCTTCTCCACAAAGCATAGATCTAGCCATGATGTTTCTAGCGCCATTTCTGAAAGCGGAATTAGAATTAAAAATATTTATCGAAAAATTATGTCTTTTTTGTTGTGTTACAGAACACAAAAATAATTTAACTTAAACAATTAATTACAACAGTTCCAATATGTAAAAACATTCAATTAAAATGTATGAGGAGCTGAGAGCTAATGCTGGATGTAAGTTACTAAATTCTATATTTATAAACCGCAAGGAAATTTTTCAGTAGTCACATGCTTAAACAACACAGAAATTATTTTCATAATTTAATAGCATGATTATCATTTGTTAATGGGAAATATAAGGTGATGACGCCTGCAATAACCGGCTCTAAGACCCGGGTTAGTTGTTATACTTGTTACAGTTACTGAAATCAGTTGTCGTGCTGATCCTGTAATAAGTCGGTAGTCCTAAGTCTTATCGATAAAGCTAACCAATAGCCAACTTGTACGATTAACGCTGATTGGCCAACTTTACTGATTAAGGCTTATAGTGAATTCGATTCAGCGCACATTAGTACGTACTGGTGCACATTAAAACTGTCATACATGAAATAACATAAAAATATGTTTATATATAAACATAGAAATCGATTAAATCCTGAAGTACTTAATATATTTTCGTGTACTATTAAGTAAAATATGTACTTTATAATTCAAAATATTTGCACTTCACTTTTATACTCAAAGTAAATCGGTGTACGACGCCTTTAATATGCATATTAGTTCATTCAATAGAATTCATTAGACTTCAGACTGCAGACTACAGATTGTAGAGTCAACGTTACAGATCTAGATTTTAACATATAACGCATATAATTAAAGAAAATATAAAAAAATGTGCATAACATAACTTTATTAATAATTTTCAGATATTATGTGATCATTATAGACATGTATATGTATATATTAATTATAGTATTATTTGAATATTTATAATAATAAGAAACAATATTTACATATTTGAATTGTTGCTTAAGCAACAAATATATTTGAATATACATATTTATGTCTTCAAATACATTAAATTGTACGTTATTACTATAAAATAAATTTTGTAAAGAAATAGTTGAAATTATGATATATAATAATATATGATATAATAAACAAAGTAATAAATACTACATTTAATGTTTTTGCAATTTTAAGTGTATGTATCATCATACCTCATGTATTAACTATCTTTTATTTATTATTAGATATTAGATATTTCGTGAAAGTAAGAAAATATTCTAATGCTGCAATTTAATGCAGAAATAAAAAACGGACCCAAAGTATTGATAAAAAGCACTACATTAAAGAACTGACCTGACGTTCGTCTTCACCTTTAATCGTTAATTTCTCTTAAATTATTTCACTGTTTCATTTCGTAAGTCAGCTTTAAAATGATACATGCAGGACTAAATTCACAGGCTTTATATCTGCATCGTTGTATTCATTCATCACATGCTTGATATCTACGTTAGAGAGTCTTGAATAACTGAGCTTATTCTTGACTAGGTCAACATTCAACTCATGCAGATTTGTTCTTCAATCAAGTAATAAATGCTAAATTTACAGAGCGATGATAAGACATACGATGTGCAGAAAATTAATTAACGTACGTCACTGAGCTATAAAAAAATCTTACAGTAAATGATATTACTATATATGTGCAAGTCATCTTTATCTTTCTTTTGTCCTCACTTTCACCAATAGACGAATTGTGATAAAATTTCAAAATGACAGTAGAAATTGATGAAAAATTTCGCAATTGCGCTAAGATGATTCACTATAATGCAACAGTTTTGTCAAAATAAAGTTTTTTATGATATTTGAAAAAAATTAAAGAATATCAATTATAAATAACATTTGTGAAAATTAAATTAATTCAATTGAGTTGTAAATATTTTAATAATTTATAGTTATCATCGTTCCAATATGTAACAAACAAAGTTTTTCGTAATTATGATCGATATTATATTGCACAAAATCATAAGATTTTAATTTAATATACTCTCGAAATAGTCAACGTTTCATAATTTTTAGGCGTATCGAATTTTATAATCATTTTACAATTACATATTTATTAGAGGCATTTGTTTTTCGATTTATCGTGAAATATACATTCTACGTGATATTTTTACAGAATTGGGAAAGAGTTTGTCAGTACAAAAAAGATACAGATAAGAGAAAAGATGTGTATGTTATACAAATATTTATTTCACGTATTTGCATAAAAAATAAAAATAATGAAAATTTACGAAAAAATACCGCGTAAAAATAAGTTATTTACTGCGTATAAAAAATAGTATCACGTAAACAATTGAGAAATGAACGTAGAATATAATTATCTATATTTTCCGAAAAAAAATCTCAGAAACAAAAATAAACTTTTATAAAATTTAGATGCGTTTTTTTTTTAATATTAATTTATCCAGATAAAACAGTTTGAATAAATGAGAGAATGAGCTATTATTTATATAAATAAAAAGTACTTCTAGATTGTTCCACCGGTACCTAATGCTTTTTTTTCTCTGTCAGCATTAGATTATCATTTTCTTGCAAAAAAACTCGCGGATATTAAATAAAATTGCGAACGCATTAATTATTAATAAAAGTCTTTCTCGCAATACTCCTTGTTTATAAAATCCATGATAAGATTTCCAAGTCGGTTGGTGAAATCAACACTTCGGCGAGCATTTAAGTCAATTCTTGTATAATATTTATGATCATATTAAGTACAATTTTAAGATGCCATAAAGCAATCACAGGACTTAACTTTTTAAAACATTTTTTAAGATAATTTTTTTAGAATAAGCACTATAAATACCTTAGAGTCGACGAATGTAGTCGAATATATACAAAACACACGATAAGTGGCACTGCAACCGACGATGCAATGGCACTGGCCACTGCAACAATGCCTCTTTGTGAGTCTTACTTGCCGTCAGAACACCGGGGCGACATGATCCCACCAGTTTGATTTACTCGTAATTTTCCATCAAATGTCGAGCCATGAAAAGTCATTAATTCGATAATTTTAACGGTACTATCGAAGCAGGTGCACGACTCAAAGAACTGATTACGATTCGTTTATTTAAACCGGCAACTTCTCCATCGTTAGACTTTTATATGATATGAAGATTATGATTTTTCTCAAATATCTAAAAATTTAGCTATATACAAATATAATTTAAATATATGTGAAAATTTTGAGACATTAAGAAAGGTCATTCATATTATGTGTATATCCTTAAAACTTAAAGTACCGAACTCTATCACTTCGTCAAAGTTGTACACTTGGAAGGGAAAATATCGAATTGAAATATAATATTCATGGTTCACTAAAAATGATCGAATGTCAAGCAAGCGTTAATTTATCACCAATGCAAGTAAACAAATTCAGAATAGGTAGAAAAGATAAACTTTTTATTATAATTTCTGTAAGATGTGATTACGACATCAATCGAGTTGGCTAGATATTAATAAGAATGAAAAATAATTCTTCGATTTATTTTTGGTTTATTGTCATTATCGGTAAACAATCATAAAATCCTCAAACGCTTAATTTTTATACGTTTTCAATATCGCGAAAGACGCACGAAAACGAGAAATTAGTTAAATTGATATTAATTACGCAAACTGTATTAATTGTGGAATCGCATGAAATATGTTATTTGCCTAATGTTATTTATTAACGTTACTTTATTTCTAATTTATATGATACAGTCAAATATATATAGAGATTCCAACGGAAGAAAAATTTTTTGTTAAACAAAAATAACTATCATAAATCGTCACAAAACAATCATAAATTCTATTTTTTATTATGTTTCAATTCTAAACGATTAAACTGCATGAAACATTTATGATATATAAGTTATAATCTCGATCCATTTACGAAATCAGCTAACAACCGTGCAAGCTAGTAATTGTATGGACGATTATATAATATATGTCGTAATATACGTAATATATTACGTTTCGTATTACCTAACTTATCGCGATTGCGTAAAAAAAAAAACTGAACGCAACACGCTGACGTAACAATTCGGACAGAAACAGATATTAAAGCCACGCGCCAATCGTACGGTTATTTGAAAATGTAAAGTTTTGTAAAATATTTATCAAATATTTCATTCCTACAGATTAATTGCATTTGATTATTATTGTATATTTCTGTTTCATTCTATGAACTGACTGATATCATTTAAGATATCCTTATTATACGGCGATTGTACGCACTGAGAGATGGAGGGAAGAGGATTGTCATTGGCGAGAAAAGCAAGTGCAACACTTGCTTCAGTTCAAATAAAATTCAATATTAAAATAAATTTAATTTTAAAAATTTGTTATTAATAATTAACTTAATCAATAATAATCGATTACAATAATTCGATTACGTAATGTAGTCTTGCACATAAGAAATCAGAATATGAATTTAACTGATCGTCCGCAAAATTAAATGTTTAGGAATGTTTCTTTTTTTAAAATTGATTTGAACAATTTGCAATTTTAGACTCAGAAAAATTAGAAAAAAGATCTCAGAACTTACGTAGACCACATAAGGTCCGGTTATCTTATTACGTATCACTTTATAATTTTTTTCAATTTTTCTTGTGCGCATTCTAATATGTTAATACAACCTAAAATACTTTATTTTATAACTTAATTAATTTATATATCATTTTTGATATCATAGAATAATATTACATACATCTCTTTTAACATCATTTTCTTTGTTAACATATAAGGAACAGACTTTGAAAATGCGTTTTGTCCAAAATTTATAATTTTCAGGAAACGAGAAAAAAGCTATAAGAAAAACTGCGTGCCTTAAGAAAATAATAATTTGTCAATCAGTGTATATATAGTGTCAATAATTTGTCAAGAAGTGTTCAACAAAATTGCTAAACAATTGCAAAATATTAAACAAATACATATTGTTTGTCTCTAGTTAAAGGACATAATGCATTTTGAATGTCAAAATTTTTTTTAGTACATAAATTGATGGTGTAGAAATCTTTCAGAACATTACAGAGTATCTTAAAATTTAAGTTTCTAAACACTACACTATCTTTAATTCGAAATTTATAAATTTTAGACAAAATGTATTTTCGAAGTCTGTTTTTCGTACATGGAATTAAACAGTATTTACATAACAATGCAAAATGTATCTACGTATATGTATATACACCGTTATCTTTATATTGATAGAATATTTTAAAAATCATGATTTATTTTCAAACTTTAATAAAAGTGAAACCAACATAAAAAAATATTTTTTAATTTTTTAACCAAAATTATTATTATATACAATTTCACGTTTACTTGTTTAAAAAAGAATTTTTTTTAAACAAGTAAACGTGAAATTGTATATAATAATAATTTTGGTTAAAAAATTAAAACAGCACGTCAACATTTTTCTATTGTTATTAATTTTACTCGTTATATTTACATCTAATATCCTTATTTCCTAGACTTTTATTTTTTTTTTATATATTAATGTTCTATCTCTAAATATGAAGTATTCATTAGAGATCCAGCAAACCCCACTCATCGTACAATGGCAGTCTTTTCATCAATACTTTTTTATAACTTTCACTTTTCAAACCTGCATGTTCATAAGTACCAGTGCCTAATATTTCGTCCAAATCTTTTGCCTCAGCTTTACTGCACAGCATATACGGTAAAATGACGATGGATGTTATCATTCCAAAACTAGCTTTTCGTTTTAAGGTAGCCTTCAGTTCCTTCATGGTGGGTGGCTGCGTCTTGCAATTCAATAATTTCATAGTCGTTGTCAAGGTATCAAGGTATTCATTTAATAGAACATCTCTCTTGTATTCAATGACGTCGAAAGAAATACTTGAATTGAGGAAATAGAGAAGATCGAGTGCCGGCGAGGCGTAGATACTTATTTGGAAGTCTACCTGTAATAAAATAAATTTTTTCGTTCCATTGATCTTTTGATTGATGAGAAGTCTACAGCAATTTTATTGGAGATAAAATCTGCACACACGCGCGCGTGCACATATACATCCAGTGAGAAAGAGAGAGAGGGTGGAGGAGGCGGGAGTAGACATCATGTTTATGAAATCGCGACAACTATGTTGATAGCTCATATGAACAACATCGACAAAAGAATATGCCTGCATACGCCATTAAATTGTATACAATGCATTTATTTAAAACACATTTTATTTTTAATGATTTTTAATATTTCATACTATCACCGTCTATTTGTCTTGATTGTTTTAAAAATTGCGGATAATTAAATTGCATTAACATGTATATGATACTATTATAGTGTGTTTCGAAACAGTATCGGTTAATTTAATTTATTGTTATGCAAATTTATCATTGCATTTAACTATGAAAATTACAATAAAAATTCAGAAATGTAGATAATTGGAATAGAGTAACTGATAATGAGCTACATTAGTTTGTGTTTATTCGCTGTTTCAACACACCCCAAATAACATTTATGTT